CTGAGTGAAACTGAACTGCATGGTAAGGTGACTTTATAATTTGAACTAAACTTCTATTTTTAAGACAAAGATAAGGAAGACTCCATGGGAAATTTTGGATGCTTGACTATGTAAATATGTGAAGAAAGCATAATTTCCTTTCTTTAAAAAAACCTCCCATCGTATTATGAGGATTTTGGGGGAACATACTGGTACTTACCTTCAAATGCACATTAAAGAACCTTTTTATTTCAGCTGAAAGTATTATGTTGTCTTCCTTGGATGGGCCCACTAAAATGGCAATGAAATGTCCAGTTTAATTTTTTATCAACTTGTGTATTAAACTTAAAGCCAGCTGCTGGGTTTATGAATGCATAAGTGTATACGGCCTCAATCTAATTCTGTGCTGAATCCTGTGACAGCAACACTTGCATCAGATGTGTCAAGAATACTTTACATACATTAAAATGTACATAAATTCATACCTGTATGCTCTTGTAACACAGGAACATGGAAGAAAATAAAGTACTAAATAAGACACTCAATTAAACCTCACTTACATTTTTTTCACAGCAATGCCACAAAGGAGGGTATGTTAATTTTAAAAAATTTTATTTGGTATAAATCAGTTGAAAAATTCTCCTCTAAACCCAGATTTCTTTAGTATCTCTGTGTTCTTGGCATATTGGGTAAGATAGTTGTTAGGAAATAGGTCATTGTGGCAAAGCCATGCTTAATGTTTTCATAGTCAAAAGCCAGCTGAACATCCTTTCAGCATTTTGGCTTTTATTTGGAGCTGTCCTTCTGAGGTGGCTGTACTTTGAACTTCTCTCGAGATTTTCCCTGTAAATTAGAACTGTTTTCACAGAGTTGTAACAGGTTGTCTAGCTCACCCTTCTGCTGTAAAGCTGGGCCAAATATATCTAAATATTTCTGGCAGAAATTAGTCTAACCTGTTCTTAGAAAAATCAGCCTCCTACAGCAAAGCACGCCTGCAGCAGTAAAGGACAATTTTTAACCTGATGCACTGTCTTAAAGTGCATCATTTCAATAGCTCCAATGTTTTAGGTTACAGCTTTTTGCTTCAGAGTAGAATATTTCAGTTGGAAGGAACCTGTAACGGTCATCTGGTCCAACTGCCAACTGCTTAAGTTGGTTAAGCTTTGCCCCACTCTTCTTGGTGGCCAGTGAGGAAGAGTTTTGATTCCTTAATTCTCACCAATATTAGCCGAAAACTCAGGTATTTAAGCTCCTCACATGTCAATGGGAGGCCTGGCTGTACTGTTCATGTGTACCTGAAATGCAGGTAGTGTGGTACTCTTGGAGGTGAACAACTGTGCAGATCCTAACATTTTAATTTGACTTTTAACATCACTATCTTCAGTTGCTTTATTTTGAAGCTTATCCAAACAAACAGGTAGTCACCTTTCTTTTCCCACTGGCATCCTCCTGCTGGGGTAAGGCCTGTGTTGAAACACTGTTGTGTTCCTTTGAGAGTACCTGTTCCTTTGAGGTTGCCTGTCTACTAATTCAGTGCATGCACGTGAATGGAGATTCGTCATTGCCTTCAGTGAGGCAGATTAAGTCTTTTTCGACATAATTTAACAAACACACATGGATGAGACTCTGTTCTGGGAAAAGCCTGTTCTGACAGCAGCTTGTTTTGAAAAAAACATTGATAAATAAAGCAAGGATTGTTCTGCATTTATTGTAAACATATCTTGTTCTCCTTTGTTCTATGTTTGTCCTAAATTGAGTCTAAACTGGCTCTACCAATCCAAGAATTTATGTAGTCCTTCATTTTCTTAAACTGTTTGTGTACCTCTGCATATTGTTGAATTGCCACTGTAGTCCATCTTTTGATTTTAGTAAAACTTCTACTTATGAAGCTTCTGAAAGTTTACATAGCTTTTATATTCATATGTTTGTTCAAAAATTTATAGACATGGATTCTTACAGGACACCTGTGTTAGAAAAGTAAGCACTGTTTTATCTTCTAGTTGGTGAAACCATGCTTTAAAGGCAAATGGTAGCACTTTTCCGAGAGCAGAGGTTCTTGGAGGCAGAGTTCCAATTAGAAATCAGGACTTCTGACTTCCTACCATGTGCTCAAGTCACTAACCCCACTTTCTTGTCACAAAGAGTGAGATAGCTGCTAGATGGAGTATCTACACTGTTTTTTCCAATAACTAACTGCTGCTTAAAATCTACCTGAAACATCTCTGGTGTATTGGCTGCAGATGTGCCTTCTGCATCAGCTTTGTAAGAAGACCCTCGCTGTGACACATAAGTTGCTCAACTAGCTGCTTTAGTAGTCTTCCTGTGTGATAATTTATATCATATAAAATACTTTAGGATCAACATTTCTACATAGACTTAGGGTAGCTATTACTAATAGCAGAAAATGAAAGAATGAAAGACTTTAACACAGTTCTTAGGAGAAGTGTTATCTTTTATTTTAGAGATAAGCAAGTTGAGCATAGTAATCCATTGAGCTGTTTAAGCAGTACAACATTTATAAGAACATTTTACGTTCCTTACCCTGAACTTCCCATCTTGTTCTTAAATCAGTACATCACAATTTCCTTTGAAGACAGAATCAAACAGGCCATGATTTTATGTAAAACTGTTATTAACACTTTGCTAGAAATACAATTTGAATAAGAAACAACATTTATGTTAGCAGAAAGGAAAAGAAAACTCACAAAAATCTATTTTAACTCTACCAACTCTTGACTTACTTCCTCTCAACTTCTCAATTGTGGGATATCAGTCAGGCATGCCTCACCACTGAAAGGCTCACCCAGCCTACGCTGGACTGTGCCAGTCATGGTAAGGTGGATAGCTGTTTCAAAAAATTGTAGCATGCTGTTTCTGTCATATGAATTCTGCTCTCTTCTTACCATGTGAGCCTCAGACCCTGAGAGTATTTTGCTGAGTAATCATCTCCAGTGTGCAAAATCAGCCCTCAGGCTTGCAGATATTGTTTTGATTCACAATATACACAGTACTTATTTGCTCTAACTAATGTGAATTGATTGAATTCCATGGAATCTGTTACACTGTTTTACATCAATTGAGCCACTTCTGGGAATACTCAAATTTATTTAGTTCAGTAAGGAGTTATTGTGACTCAGATTTAAGATATTTGCCTACAGAGGAAGGGAGGTCCTAACTGCTTCACACAGCCTCTCTATTTTACATTTCTTCTCAGTCTTTTCTGATATTTCATGCTGAACCTCAGTGTATCTATTACAATAATAATTTCCTTTCAGGAGATTCAGAGAATGAAATAATTGATCTTTTTTATAAAAAATGTGACTTCTTTCTAATACTGTCACTCTTCTCCCTATTGTCACTTCAAATTCTTAGAAGTTATGTGAAATATATGTGGAGGTAAGAGAAAGTGTCCTTTTAAGTTCGATGTCATTCCACCCTGGCTGATACTTTTTGGGAACCTTAACGACCTTATGATGGTCAAACTGAGAAGCTGTGCTACAGGGTGTTGCAAAACTGAGATATGCACAAAGGGTATCAACCACAGAGGCTTTTCCTCTGATCCTAGATCCTTTCTAATCTATTTGGTATCTGGGGCCTCTGTCACATATGAAAAGAAATAATAACTGTAAGTGTAAAGCAGCTGTGGATTTCTGTCGTTTACTGGTTAGCAAGTAAGCTGGAAGCTCTATCCTCAACGCAAAGCTTCAGAGATGTATCGCTTCTAGGAAAACATGACTGTAGTAAACAGCTGTGTTCTTAAATTATTCAGGATCATAAAATGGTTTCTATCAGGAAAAGGTTGTAGCCTACTTCAAACTCAAGGTGTAATCACGTGTGTTCAAATTGTATAGAATCTGTTTACGGTACCACTCTGATTAGATGTTGTAAATCCTTCTGCTTTAATTTCTGAGCAAAACAGCAAAGACACTTTGAGAATAAGTTCAGAGAATGCAGCTAAAGTGACTGTATTTTAACTGTAATTTGATTTAGGTCTGATATGAAATAAATCAGTCTGGTTTCAATGACATTACAGGCCAGTGACAGCTGCACCATGGTAAGATTACAGCAGGGATTTGGTTTAAAATGAATCCAGCATCTTTAAAGACTGCCTGTGGTATCATTATACCAGTGGATGCTGAGGAACTTGGCCTCATCCTGCCATTCTTAACACTGGCAACAGAGATTGGGGAAGTGTGATGCTGAGACACCTGAATTATCTGGAAGCAAGCCAGCTCAGCTTCGGATGCCTTGGTGTGTTGACACAGTGGTCGGGCTAAGAAGCCTGGCTGGAGATCAGGGCTTATGAGCTCTGATGTATTGCTAAGGTCACACGGGCTATACAGTGTCAGTCCCAACCTGGGAGGTCCATCGTTGTACTTGGTGTGTGAGTGACTTTTGACCTCAGATACCTAGTATGCTTTGGCTGAAGAACTATTTATGCTAAAATTTGTGAAGTTTCCAGGCTTTCAGAACATTTTCAGAAGTGACAGTTTTGTGAATCCATGTAAATAATATGGGCTTGCTTATGCTGGTGAGCAAAACAGCATTGTGGTTTGCAAAACATTTTCTGTTTCTGTCAATACCAGGCCAGGTAGTAATCACTGATCATTAACAGTTCAATTTCCTAGCACTATTAATAATATTAGTATTATAATTTAAGGACATGAATAACTGTCAGGGTCCCTCACCAAACACCACCTTGTGTAATTTATATCCTGACTAGTCAAAATATTCGTGTTCTTATTTGATAAATGGTTTTCTGCATCCTTCTGAAATTTTTGCATATGCAACTCACCTGTCCAGTTCTAGAGGTAATGGGTGAAGCAAACCCTTGAGGTGGCTTGTGTATGGATGGACAAAACACACAGGGAGCCTTCCAGATGAGAAGAATCGCATCTGTGTGAATAACATGGTTTACGTGAGAGTCTTGAAAATGGTATTTAGGAAAGCTGTATGTGAAGGTCAAGGTCATACCCTCAGGGATTTGATTTTGAATAATTTTTTTATACTTTGTGTTTCAGTGGCTGTTCCCTCACCAGTGCCAGCTTGTGAACCTGAACCCAAAAGTAACGGGCATTACCCAGCTCCACGACTCTCAGTTTCCTCCCGAGCCACTGTTGTTGCTACCATGGAAGCCCCTTCTCAAGGCCTGCAGACAGTCATGAAGTGGAAAACAGTGGTGGCCATCTTTGTTGTGGTGGTAGTTTACCTGGTGACGGGAGGACTCGTCTTCCGTGCCCTGGAGCAGCCCTTCGAAAGCAGGCAGAAGAACACAATCGCACTAGAGAAGGCTGACTTTCTTCGTGAGCACGTTTGTGTAACCCAGCTAGAGCTGGAGACGCTGATTCAGGTAGGCCGTCTGAGGAAGACAGTACTTGGAAGTCAGGATAAACAGCTCGGTGGTTCATTGATCAGCTGAGTCTGTGGGGAAGAAATTGTTTATAGAGCCCTCACAATGCGCAGTGTGAAGAGCAGGCTCTTTCCCAGTCATTTTAAAGTCTGTGAAACAGAAACTATGTTTCCGAAACAGTGTAAATAGAGGTTAAAGGTATTCACTAGAATCATGAAAAATATGTGCAAAGAAAATTAAACTTAATATCTGGAAGAAATTTTTTGATAGGTGACAGATTTGCGAGATATTTGCCAATCATCTCTTTAAATTTTCAAAATATACCAAGTTCTTAATTCTTCCTCCAAAGTTAAACACAGCAACCAGGAGAGCAAGCAGAAAATGACAGGTGGGAATTTTGAAATAAATGTTCAGCCAAGAGTTCTGAACTTGTTGGTATATTAATTAACAGTTTTACTATTGCTAATTTTAGGTATGTGAAGGATGATAAAGTATACAATTAAAAATAGAAAATAATTGGCATTTAAGAACTGCAGAATTTTCAGTCTGGTCTAGTATGCAAAGCTTTAGAATCAATTTTGGGGGAAATAAATATCAAGTATGTAGGGATAAGTGGAAAATGGAATAACATGCAAAAAAGGTCTATCAAGGATAGAGTTACCTTTCATTGATTTAAAGTCTAGACAAGGAAAGTATTACGGATCTTGCAAGACTTCAGTAGAGTATCTTCTAGGATCCCATGTAGAAACCTATCATTTAGCCTGGAGAAAATAGAGATTAGATAAGAAATGTGATACACCTAAGGAATATTTTCCAAAGTTGAAGTTCAGGCTCATATTTCAGACCTGAATTTGTGGCTGAGCCTTCCAAGAGCACAACGTGTTTCCCTCTGGGGTGTTGCACCAGAGCTCCATTGTGATTTCAGGCTGTTTGAAAGACCACATATCTATCCTCTGGATTCTTGTTTCCATCCATCCAACTGTGTTATAAAACCCTTTCTATATGTGAATCAAATTTATAAGCTTAGTATTTCTTTTAAGAAGCTTTTCCATAATCTCACCACTGTGAAGGAGAAAGCATTCTTCTACTTTTCAGCCTAAACTTGTTCAGTTTCCTTGTAGCTGGTCTTCCACAGATAGTGTCCCATTGCTTAATTGATTCCTCTGTCTTGCCCACATGTGTAGACAGCAATGCTGTTCTATCTCTCCTAAGCAAAACAACTTCTTTCTGTTTCTTTACAGACAGATGTGGGCTTTCTTGGCTTGTGCTCTATATTCACAGAAGACAGGTCAGTTCTGAGTCAGTCTGTACTTTTGGGCAGCCTGGTACTGTAGCTAAGAAGCCAATGCAGGAAGCGGTATTGTATTGATGTAACTATACAATTTTTGGATCGGGGCTGGCTTCGCACATGTCCTTCATGTGTCTGCAAAAGATAGGTGAATGTGTTTTGTTGGCAAGCTGAATTCTCTTCAGGGATATTGGTTCAGATGTGTTTCTCATGGCAGTACTGCAGAGATCCCTATTTCCCTCAACATCTTAGGTTGTGCTGGCTGATTAAAGGATTTTTAAAAAATACTAAAAGCAAGAAGTTTTCATTCCCTTGATGGGAATTTCACTATTAAAAGATATGCAAAATGCTTTATTTTCTAGCAGAAAGCAGAACACATAATACGTGCAACAAGCAAAGCATCCCAACAGGATGGTAGAGTCCTGCATACTGACTGCAGTACAAAGATTTCTAAATAGCCCCTATTCCCTAGCCTAAGCTATCTACCACCTTTAATTCTTTATTTTACACAATATTTTCCTTCTTTCATTTCAAAAGTGGTGACACTAAAATATAAAACAGGGATACTGTGTCATTAGAAGGCAGACACTCTGAACAAATCTTACCATCTCCTGAGATTTCAGTATGTCCTCAGGCGTTACACTGGGTAACTGGAAATCATTTTGCAAAGGTAAATTAAATGGGGTTTAGCAGCTGAGCATGTGAATATCTTAAGGCCAAATGATGTGAAATATTGAAACAGATTTGTCAATAAAGAATAAGATCCTTTTGGATTCTCCTGTATGTCTGGGGGTGAAACTGGCCTCAGGGATGTAGCTGGGTATGCTGATACAGAAAACTCTTGATTGTAACTGACTTGCACAGAAGAACAGTGAACCACTGCTTGAAGATAATGTCAGGGGGTTAAAGTTGTGCTTTCATGTCTTCGTGTTGATGATCTCAAAAGTGACATCTTCCTGGCTGGCACAACGCGTTTCTGCATTGCACCAAATGCTGCATCTGCCTTCACAACTGTGATTTCAGACTGATGTGGCAACCTCCATGGGACCCGGCTACTGCTAAGGGAACTATTTATAATTAATATTATTTGACTACCTGAAAGCCTTTAGATGAACACAGATCATACTCTCTAGAATGGATGTGTCGATTCACCTCTGTGCTTTGGAGAATATGGAAAAAATACAAAAAGAGAGACCTTGTAACTGGCTTGTATACATTTACTGGGGGGTGGCTCTGGAACAATCTTTTAGGGAGAAGAGGAAAGGAGTGTCATGGTCTTTACCAGGGTAATGATGGAAAAATTTATCCCTTTCCCTAAATTTCAAAGGATTCTCCTTTGGAAAACCTATAAGGAAGATGTATGGCACTGTATGAGGAAGCTATTAACATTTAGCGTGGATGAGACATCCTTTCCAACTTGATCTTCAGTAACCCATTGCAAATATTAGCACTGGTAGCAGAAATCTGAATTGCTGAGTCCAGACTGTGAAGTTCATTCATAGACTTCAGAAGTAATACAGTAATGAAAGCAGTGCAAATCCCGAGGAAGATTCAAAGTATTTTAAATTTTTATTTATCTCTTGGATTTTGGTTAAGGTCTGTCTAATACTAACACAACGTCAGGTATTTCTTTCTTAACAGTAGGAAATATTTCACCATTCAGTCTATAGTGTCTAAAGTCACCTGAAGTGGAAGTTTTTAACTGTACATTTTTAAAGCCCATTTCTGCTTCTGAAGACATTTGTTGCAGTGAAGCAATTTCATTATTTAATGCCTTATGTGATCTACAACTTGGCACAATGGTGAATACCAGAATAAGAAAATGACAAAATTGTGTGCTCTCTCTTGACACTTTTGAGTTTTCAGAGTTAGAGAGAAGTGAAATCTAGAACATGCTAAAAGACAATGCAACTTCAGATGCTTCAAGTACATTTAGCTGAATTGTACCCATTTGAACAAACAGCAGAAGGCAGTAGGACTCAAGTGACTGGTAGTTACACCTGCTGACGTATAACAAAACTTTTTTTGTTCTTATATGTCATAGCATAAGCTGGGGTCAAAAGAAGTCATCTTTCCTTTGTACTAACACACACTTATATAATGCAGTGTATAATGGGGAGGTTGTGCCTCTCAGAAAGATCAGATGTTATCTGTCATTAGGAGAGGCAGGCAGGAAGACCATCAGTGTGTTTCGGTAAAGTAATTCCTATGGACCTGATAAGGATATTCATATTCTGTTTCTGTGTAGCCTGTGCACTGTGTGTGAGTAAAAACTTCTGTAATGAGCCCTGCTTTCATAATGAGCCCTGCACAATGTCCCTGTAAGTTACTTAGGTTATTGGTGGGCTGCTTTCTTCCTTTTCCTTCAGGGTTTAATTTAGGAGTGTGAGTGATTATAGTATGTAAAAAAAAAATCACCCACCTGGGGACCAAGTCATATTATCAATGTCCACTAATGACTACAGCAACTCATTAGAGCTGAAAAGGAAGCAGGCCTGGAAATACGCTAGTCAGGCTTTACTGGCTAATTATATTAGTAAGAGTTCATATTGTGGATAGGCACTTTTTGTTAGTGTTCTGAACTACTTTTGCTCTGAAGGTAAGCAAGAAAGGGAACATCCTGTAAAGATGTTTTAGTTTTTAAGCTGCTTGACAGGTTCACTAGTGTCGTAAACCAGCTTGTCTTTTCAGGATGTTGCCTTGTAAAATCAAGAGAATTTGGATAGTTTCATATGCTAGAAGAAAGCTCTAGATGGAGCAGAACAAAAAAAAAAAAATTTGAGTTAACTGTTGGGAAGACTTGCCTGTTTCTGAAGACAGAAAAAGACTATTTGAACTGTGAAGAAAAATGATGGTAAATACCTGATTTTGAACCTTCTGCCTATGCCTCTGGAGGTTGTCTTCTGTATGTCCCAACTTCCCTTCTGCTCTGATCTTTATTGTGCCTTATTCTCCCAGATAAGAATTTTTTCAGAACAGAAATAGAATAAGAAAAAAAGGCATTCAGATCTCTTGGGTCCTGTCTAAGTTGGTGCAGGAACCTTAGTTTGTAACTTCAGTCCAGAGATACTCTAGTTCTATAGGAGACAGACTGAGCCTAGGATGCTGCAGAAGTCTGTAGCTGTCCTATAGCTATGTTGCTTCCAGAACTTAGTTAAGAAGCCCCTTCGTCTTAGATCTCTGTGCATGCCCCTTGTTGAATGCCTTCAGACGCAGTGCATGCACAACAATCAAATCACTGTAAGTGTAGGTAATCACTATCTGGCTGATTGTCACCTTTACGGGATAGAGAGAAATATTTAAGTGATGGGCTTTCAAAGCTCATTACTTTGGATTATACCTGAACAAAAATTGCTGGCCTTGGTCCTTCAAAAATGCTGTTGGGAAAAACTTAATAAATGGGAATTTATAATGAGGATCCCTTAATCACTGTGTGAGGGGTGGTGAGAATAAGTAGAGAGGTAGGGAGTATAGAGAAAAGTTATTAAGGAGTTAGTCTTTAGAAGCTGCTTGCTAATGAGAAGCATCCTAATAATCGTAATAAAGAAACATCAGAGTGTGAAAGGCAATTGAAACAACTTTTTGTATACTTGATAGGAATCTGCTTGGAAAAGAATTGTAGAGGGAAATAATCATTATTGGATTAGCATGATCTGTGGAGAGGAATTAATGGAACTAGAAAAAAGATGACAGGAATTTTATTTTCTTTTCTTATCAAATTCCTATCCTTTGTTACACATAGGGTACATCCCTTTAGTAGCTCAGCACTCAAGAAAGGTATTATGCTTGTCCTTGAAAAGGATTTGTCTTCTTCATGCTTGGGATCTTACTGGAGAAATTAAAGAATCTTGAACAAATGAAGCAGACAAAAGCCTTTCTTCCCAGAGAAACCAGAAATAGCCTGTTTCCAGTCTCCTCATCAGCTGCACTAGATGCCAACTATCTTGTTGCCTATGGGCATAATTCTAGGCTTTTTCTTGATAGAAATGTCTTAATTACTGATCAAAATACCTAATACGTTAGTGAAGGCTGGCATGTACTCACTCATGCACCAAGAAGGATCAGATATGTGAGTGTCCGAGCACAGTGAGGACCACCTGCACCCCAGGGGACAGTGAGCTGGCAGCTGTGGACCCCATCACTGTCAGCCAGAGAGCATAGTTGGTGGAGGCAACCAGGGGCATCTCCCAGCCCAGACTATCAGGCACCTCCCTGGGGACGGAAGCGGGCTGAGGTTGGGCTGGGGCATCAACTCATGAGTCAGGCCCCAACTTGGCGGAGCCTGTGGCTGGGCAGGGCAGGGCTGCAGGGAGCTGGAGGCCTGTACTTGTACAGTGTCGCTGGCGCAGCGATTGAGACTGTGAAATCCCAGTAGTTTCTATTTGGTATAGGGAGAATAGAATTGATTTTACCCATAAAGAAGAGATACTATTTTGATCTTATGTTGTGGGAGGGTAACACTTGACACCTGGTGAGGCAAGTTACTGTTCACTATACCTTTCTTTGGACTTTGAGTCCTACATGTTAACAGCTAGGCAGCCCAGGGTGGGCGCATGCCTCATAGCCTTTAAATATTGCTGCCTGAATATCAACAGGTCGAATTGATAAAGCCTATTCTAGATTGAGATTGAGTCTGGATTGCACTCTCTTTGTGAATACAGATTTCAGTCATTCCAGTATCACCACATATACTGAGCTTTTGCTGCGGGGTTTACCTTCTGTCTCATGCAGATTCACCAGACCATGTCTTTTTGGAGGGACTGTAGAGTGCTGATACCAAAGTGGCTGAGAGTAAAATGCACATCTATACAAAAACTGGGAACCAAACTAAAAAATGTGATCAGAAATATATGGTTTTTTAAAAAAATAAATATTGAGTACTTGGATTTACTTTGGTAGTTTTGTCATTTCCCTCACTCCTATCTGCCTATCAGCTTTAGGACATATCCATTACTTGAACAGCAAGAAAGGCAATTTCAGCCCTTTGAGGCACTCTTAGTTATTGCCTTTCCTGAATGGGTGGCATTTCAAAAGATAAATTACCATAGATGAAAAATTATTTATTAAAGAAGAATGCTTTTTGAATTCATAAAAAAAAATGAAAAAATGTGGTGCACTGTGCATATAACTTCTCTTGAGAAGGAAGAAAGGATCAGGAAAGGAGTAAGTGTGAAAACAGCTATGGGTACTTTGATGACCTGTTACTTTTCATGATACTTTGTATAAAAATACCTGAAACTACTGGTTTAAAATGTTTTAAATGTAGAAGGTTTGCCAACAGAGCAGTTAGCACTTGGGAAATTGGTTGTTTCCCTGCCGTAAGATAATTTGAGCCTGCTCCTCGGGCGATGCTGCAAAGCCTATCTGAAGTTTCATAGATGGGAAACTGTTGTAAAATGTTATGGTCTGTGTGAACTGGGAGAGTCTTGACAGTGACAATGTCCTTTGAGTTTTGTGTTAGTCTTCATCTAGCAGGATACTTCTGTGTAGGTGGACTTGGGGTGGTGGTAGTAAGGCATCCTTTACTCATTGCATGACCTGAAATTGCATATTTAAGTGTTGCTAACTGCAGGGCTGCTGTCCTCTTACTGGTCCCTTTCTGCACTGCATTGCTGTATGCAAAATAGTATGTATTAAGAGATAGCATTGGGATAATTGGATATTTATAAATGGATGATATCAGTCAAGCTTTAAAGGAAAAATGATTTTTTTCTGAATGTGAAGGGAGCCTGAGAAGCTCAAAACTACCTAAGGCAATGAGCTGCTCCTTCACTTCAGGGGTTAGTGCTTGGCCCTAGTAGACTTGCTAAACTGTGTAAATGCAAGTGTGATTAAAGTGCTGTAATTAGCTTGCTGACATTCACACACTCAAGGGGAAGGCAAGCGACATTCCTTGGCAGAAGTAACATGCTGGGGTAGCTGACAGTGTGTCATGGCCTATTTAAACAGGCAACCTGTCTGTTATGCTGATTTATGCTCTTCTGGGTAAACAAACAAATGATCTCTGCTTTCACACCACCTGCAATATGCCAGCAACTGGTACAGAAGCCCTATCAAAGGCTTTGGTCCTAAACACTTCCTTTCTCCATATCCCTACTTCTTGAGGTATGGACAGGTGCTGAGGAATCCTGGCTTTCTGCCCACATGAAATGCAACCAGTCGAGTCTGGAGCCTGCTTATGGTGTAATTTCACAATGAGCTTACCTTGGCATGTGGAAGCTCTACTGCTAAAAAAGGCTGTCCTGTACTGATCTCTTTAGCCATACTTGGCCCCTGTTCTTGCCTGTGTGCCTCTTCTCCCACTCCTTTCTCTTTTTGTGGGGTAATATGTGGTGAATAACTAAAAACTGGAGCAGATTAGCTGAAACTAGCCCAAAGGAAAAAATGTGGTAGAGGAAGATTTGTGACGATGAAGTCATTGGAAATACAGGCAAAAAATGAGTAAGGAAAAGTGCAAAATGGAAGGGGAAGAGAAGAAAAAATTATAAAAGAGCCACCAGAGGGAAGAGCTGAATGAGAAGAAAAGCATGTCATGAAACCTAGAGATAGAGGAGGCGTTAAATGGATGTATTTAAAAGTCAGTGCTAAAAGCACAAGAGAATATGAGGTTACAGAGAAGATCAGGAGAGAAATCATAGACATCAAGAGATGAGAAGTGGGGCAATGGTAAAATAGAATGATTAGTCTTGCTTTGCATGTGGACCATACAGACAAAGGTGAAATAAAAAAAATCACAGTGACAATTCACTGATCGTAAGTGAGAGGGAAAAGAGAAATAGTTAAGGAAATGGAATAAGAAAACTCAAACCAAACTTGTATTGATAACTGGGAATCCTGTGTTGAAAAATGTCAAAGAAAGAGAGGATGTAAGAGGCAGCACTTTGCCTCTCCTGTTGAGCCTGTCAATAAATTCAATGAAATAACCAAGGCTAAAGGCTGGTGGCAATATTTAGGAGGAGGAGCAAATATCTGAGAGGGAAAGGGAAGATCTGGCAGCAGCGTGCACAGCATGATAACAGCTACATTAACTGAGGTTGGAATGGAACAGAAGAAAGGCAAAAGAGCTGGAAATAGTAAGAGGTAGAGAGAGAGAAGTTTGGTTCCTCTACATTGGTTTTATGGAAATTAATCCCAATTGGGAACACTTGGGAAGGAGAGGTTTACTTGGAAAGGCAGTCATTTTAGCTCCTGTCCCAGAGTGAGGTCTGAATTTCTCTAGGATGGCCAATAGATTGCATGAGATCTACAAGCAACTAGAGAATATGTTCCAAAGGGCATCTCAAAAGTGAATTTAGAGCAATTCAGCTGAATGTGCCAGGTGCTGAAGAGGGATTTATTTCTGTGCTTTGGAGGCTGATGTATTTAGCTCTGTTTTCCTTTGGACTATGAAGCTGCAATGAAAGGCAAATGTGTGTATCCCCACGATACAATATGATGCATTTTTACAAATTCTCAAGCAAACATTTAGCAGGCTGATGCATTTGCCTGGTTTGATTCAATGCTGTGTGAGACATAGGACAGTGACATGGAAGCAGTATAGCTACCTCAGCTTCTGTTCTGGATTTAGTTCATTCAAGCACTAGCTGGGAGTCTCTACCATGCTATATTTGTTGTACAGTGAGGCAACTGGGAAGTCCTAGCTGATCACAAAGTTGTTTCATGTTTCCATAGCTATACTATTTGGTCATTTCAAATGGGATATATATATAGCCTATTTTTTCTTTAGTTATCATGAAATATAAATAACTTAATCAATTATTAATTGTCTGGGAATTAAAATCCTTGCCTGACTAGCTTCAGATGACTTCATGAACATTGTTTGTATTTACCACCCTTCTTGCTGCTTCTAACATCAGCTGTTCCCATTCAGGAATTTTTGCTTTGGCAGTTCTTGCTACAAGAACGACCTTTATGGATCCCTCTGTGTTGTCGTTCCTTTACTTCTCAGTTGCTTTGTATCTTTTGTCATTTGTCTACGCATTGTATCTTTCTTCCACCTTAATAACTATTTAGTTCAGTCATATATTCAGCTCTTGTGTACAGAGGATGCTACTATACTTTGAGCAGGTATTAAGTTTAAATCTAAGCTGTTCCCATGGTCCTAGAAATTTCCCTTTGGAGCCTGCACTGACTTGCATAGGGTATAGTAAGGCATCCATAAGGCTGATTTGTTGTTTCTTTTATTGCAGCATGCTATTGATGCTGATAATGCAGGAGTCAGTCCCATAGGAAATTCCTCTAACAACAGCAGTCATTGGGACCTCGGAAGTGCCTTTTTCTTTGCTGGAACAGTCATCACAACAATAGGTATGTTTATTGTTTATCTTTTAAAATACATAGTCACACTGAGACCTGGATAATGAAATAAATGCGAGGAAGGTAGATCACAAAGAAATGAAGTGGCTGAACTGTATTTCTCTCCGTTCTCAGAAGGCATGTGTCAAGGGCATTGAGCCTCTGGGTATATATCAGAAGCTGTTTACACAATTAGGATAGAATGGCAATGTTGAACTGAAAACAAGTAATACTGATGTAGCTAAGGCTTTATAACCTTATTCCTAACGTAGATTCAGGTGGTCTTAATTTTCACTAAAAAGGTCAAGAACCAGTACCCAACGAAATAACTATTCTATGGTTGCTGGGAATTTGTATGTAAATTAATTTTGGCTTATGTGCTGAAGTTTGATAGAAGTAATTCTCATACCCTGCTTGTTGTAACTGGAAATGTATTCACATAACTATCACATCCTTTTATACTAATAATTGGAAGGAATTCCACAAATGTGCGTTGTGTAAAAAACCTCATTTTTTTCCTTTCTAGAATTTGTGGCCTTGAAATACTGACACATTTCTCTGTATTAGATGAAAGGTATACTGAACTGGTCCATTAACTTTTCCTGAACCCCTAATTTTAGTAAGTTCATTATTCAGGCCCTTATCATCTGTCCCCCCTGTACGTTATGTCCAATGTATTGGCAAGCTTGCTTTTTATTTGCATTGCCTTTGAGTATTCTTCTGATTTAAATATTGGATAAAGTGCTTCTTTGTGTTACAACTGTGATGCACACACCAGTGACAGTATAGACAAATAATCTGACAATCACATAACCCTTCATTAAAGTGTGAGAATCTGACCGAATTCTGCAAGTTCTTTGTACAGGTAATACAACAAAAAAAAAATCCTGTGGCAATTACAAGACTTGCTGTAGTGATCATCTCAAACAGTGGAGTCTGTGCCTTTGGCTCTGCCTTTTCTTTGTTGTCAGAGTGAGGGTGAAAGGATGACTGTATACAGTGTACTACTCCCTGTGTTCCTCTATATACTAAGTTACATTACCGTGTGTTTTTAACAGTAGCATATTACCAGCGGGTAGTGAGAAAGAAAACATTTCTGAATCAAATGTAAGAAAACCCTCCCTTAATATTTTTTTACTCAATAGATCCAAGTGGCAAGCATTTAAAACACTCATTAAAATAAATGCCACTATGTAGGTATAGTTTATGTAGGCATATTCATTGACATCTGCTATTTAAATAACTCATTGAAAAGAGCTTGGATTTTTGCCCATATTTGCTTTAAATTCTCCATGGATGAGATTTCTATAGGCTGCATAAAATCTATGTATTTTGTCTGGGTATGAAAATTATTTTATTTTATCCACCAGATAGGGCTTCTCTCAGGCAGGCACTCAGCAGACTACCTGGTCAACCTCAGTCCCCCGGCCTGTGGAGCCTGGAGTTTCGTGGACTTTTAGGAGAAATCTGGGATCACAGATGCAGCCATGAAAAGGACTGTGGGTTGGGGGGCAGGCAGTGTTGTATGTCAGCCTGGTCCTTTCACCATGCCACGATGGAGAGATATATCCAGTGCCAATGTTACAGATATTTTTTCTAAAAAGCCACATATAAGTTCTGAGAGTCTGACAATTGTTTTTCTCTTCAGGATATGGGAACATTGCCCCAAGCACTGTTGGAGGCAAGGTTTTCTGCATCTTGTATGCCATTTTTGGGATTCCACTGTTTGGCTTCTTGCTGGCTGGGATTGGAGACCAACTTGGAACCATCTTTGGGAAGGGTATTGCAAGGGTGGAAAAAGTTTTCAGAGTAAGTTCACTGTCATTTTTTTGCTTGTGTTGTATAACTTGCTTTTAATTGTGTTGCTATTACCTGCAGTCGTTTTTACATATTGGGCACCACGAAATATTTACATGTCTAGTTGAGATGATGCTTAATGTCCTTAGGGGCCTCTCTAGTCAGTGGAGAGAAATAGGCTTCTCTAGATGGTGATGCAGGGGTTATAGATCAGGTTCTGAATTTCCTTCTTGAGGTTATCTCTGGGGAATGTATCTCCTAAGCTAGATTCCTTACAAGGACTGGTTGTGAAACTGCCTTCAAAACACCACAGGTTGCCTTGGACATGTATGTCCATTCACTGAAAGCGGAGAGAAGGTAGTGTAACTTCTGGAGGAACAGGGATGCAGATTAGGTCCCAACTGTGTTACTAATAAAGCCTAAAAGACTTGGAAAGCAGGGTTTCTGGAGTGAATGTGAGCTTGGCAAGAGAGATGGCTGAGTGATATGCTTTCACTGCAAGAGGACAGGTGCATTGGAGTAGATCTGCAGTTGCAAAAACTGGCATAATGCCACTGACTGGAATCATTTTCATAGTATTTACCTGCCCTGCCTACCACGGTTACATCCTACATTAGATTTCTGCACAGACTTCATCATATGTAATTTCCTATCATGTTGCCAGTACCCTCTTTTTGAGTCTGTATCACCGTGAGCAATTCTTTTGCAAGCAGTGCCACAGACCTGGCAAATGCTGTTTTGCTAATTTGCTGATGGTTCACTTCAGGAATTCTCTCTTTGAAGCAGAACTTCTAGAAGTGACCTGTGTGATGCTTCCCTTGGAGGCAGCATAACTGGAGGTAAGTCTTTCCAGGCATGGAGTGGATGAGAAGCTGTCCAAGGTGGTTAGTTTAACAGGCATCTATTTCTAAAACATTCCCACAGATGAGAGCAAATTACTTATAACTGTTTTTGAAAGGAAGTAATTGAGTATTAGACTGGAGAATGAGCAATTTCCCTTTTGATTAAATTACTGTGAGGTGTCCCAGACCAGCCATAAGGAGTATCTCTCAGGCTAAATATGGAAAAAAGGTGACTAGTGGTTATGGGTGAGTAAGCATGTACATGTCTGACTGGAGAGCACTTGAAAACAGCCTACATTTTTATGAAATGAAAATAAAGTTATTGAAAAGTGGCTCAGGTTGGGCCTGCAAAGACAGGTAGCTAAGATCCCTAGTTTCTTTTTTACCTAGCTTCTTGTACCTGCTTCTCTTCAAAGGAATCTCTGAACCTTCCAGCCTGCTCCTACCCAAGAAAAACTACAATCTCAAATCATGATATGAATTGAGAGTCAGAAATCTTTGATTAATTGTCAGCTGTGATATTGGTTTTCTGGGTGATGTGGACAAGACCATTAAACTGTCAGCACGGTAGTTTATGAGTAAAATAATACATGCTCTACTTGAAGTATTTTAAGGTTCACAGATGAATGCTGATACTAATGTTTCATACAGAATATAGCCCTTTGGCACATAATGGGACTTCTTTTGGTATTCAGAGTACTCCTTCCTTTTCTTGAGTCAATGCAGTTGCTTGTTGTTTACAACCATCTAAACTATTTGTTTTCCTCCTTGGTATTTTGTCAGCTTCCAAAGCAATTTAGAGGTCTGTGGTCCCCTTTTTTAGCCAAGATGTATGTTTATTCCTTTTATTTTGATTCTCATAAATCTATTATATCTGTTATTTCGTGATTTGGTGGATGGGATTATACGTAATTTCCTTCAATATTCCTAGTAATGAGTTTCAGCTATTTGAAACATTCCTGATATAGCCTACAATTCACATGCATCTTAGTAACTAGTCTCAATATCAGTGGTTTCACTTTGTGTTGTTATTTACATAACATTTGACATATTCTATATTGTCATTTATACATTATATATACTTTGTATTGTTAGCTAATGCAGAATATAATAATCATTATAATTTATTATCACATTGTGTTTACATTGTTAGGCTCCATAAATGTTTGGACCTAATCAGATGAATTCACAAGTGGAGTAACAGTTCTTGATTTAACCCTGAAACTCTTGTTTCTTACTTTGTAGTTGTTTCCATAATGAACTCAAATTCAGCATGTTTGTAGGCATAAAGCAGCATGCTACAACCTATAAAGAGAGGTTGTAAAAATTAGAAGAATAGTTAGGAGGAAACCAAAAGGAACAAACACAGGCTAAAAAGACACCAGAAAGCATAATAAAATGTTACGTGGTGTGCTTCACAAATCTTTTTGAGCTAGCTGACAGGTCACTGATTGTGAATCAACGATCTAGTGATATAACAAACTGAATTTCCAAAAAGCTTTTAACAAGTTTTCACATCAAAGGCTATAAGGAAATGAAGCTGTGATGAGGTAAGAGAGAAGATTTCGCATGTCAGTACATGTTTAAAGGGTAAATGGATATTAGGAATAGATGGTAGCATTATCATTGTGATTTTACTGGAGTCCTTGCTGGGATCTTTAACACAGATGGCCTGGAATGGTTCAGGCAAGAAGAGGAATATACAGGTGACAGTGTCTGCAAATTATGTCTCTAGATGTTTCAGGATAGCTAAAATGAAAGCTTCGAAAGGATGATAAATGGAATCCAATGGTGGTGATAGAAAATAATGCATATTTCTTAAGTTTGGGGAAAGAAATCCTAATAGATTCATACAGGCATAGCATCAAACTTCACTACTGCAAAAGGGATCTGGGATTACTATGGCTGATTGTCTGAAAATAACACTGCGAAACTTAGCAGTAGTTTAAAGGAAAAAAGAGTGTCAGCAAAGGAGTTAAAAACCAAAAGACCATTTTACACTTCACAGATCCATAGTGCACTTGAACCATGAATATCACATGCAGTTCTAATCATCCCATTCTGAAAAGCAATTAACAGAAATAAAAATCAGTGCTAGGTCTGCTGCCATAGGCCTTGTAGCTGAGGTTCTAAAATGGCATTCACTAGCTATCTCTATTATTTGCCTTCTGGTGGGTCCTCAAGGGCAATTTGTGACAGTCCAGCTTGTACCCTTGGGGAAGGGAATGGGAAGAAACTTTGCATGTGTCCTGGACATTATAATATATCAAGTTTCCACGTGTATATGCCTCAACACTCTGCTTCTGTCTGTCTGCAGTTGCCTCTTTATTCCATTCACCCTTAGGGATGTTACACGGCTGGTGTCAGGGCAGCCAAGAGTTCCCCAAATCCTTGCAACTTTGTCATCGTCTGTACAGGTGGATGGGATTTGAAGGCAACTTGATCTTGCGTTGTGGTTAGGATAATTGCTGAAGCTAAGTAAGAGGCATTATGCATGCACTGTCAGGTGGGAAGGAGAGGAAGGTTTCTCTGTCAGCACAGCAGTCTTTTCACCCAATGCATTTCCTTACCAGGTCTCTTGCTCCATCAGACAGCATAACTGTGAGCATGGAGCCCGTGCCATGCAAGGGACAGTTTGCCCCTGGCATCCCCTAGCATAGCAGGAAAGATGAAAGGAGGGTTCCTCCCAGAGGAGTTGTGCTAGTGCACTTCTGCTGCCTCTGCCATGACCTGTGTGGAGCCCCACCAAATCTACATTAATTTGCAGCACTAATTAGAGCCTAAGAATGCCACATTTAGCTATTGCAGTGATCAGCCCACGCACTCTGTGGGAATTTTAAGACCAATTTGAACTCCAGAAAGGGGGAAAGAGATCTGCTCTTATCAAATTCACACTACCCCCACAGTATTGACAGAATATTTCAGCAGAGGAGCTGGACACTTGCCACTCCTCATCTTGTAATCCAAAATGTTGCCACTATTTTGGTGTGTAGATAACTAGGAAAACAACTATTCATTTATGACTAGGCAGGGCTGGAAGTCTTTCATTGCAGAATAATGCTTTGTAAAAACAGGAACTTTTTTCCTCATTTCAGAAAATGGAGGCACTGGCAGAGTGACGCTGCCAGAGATATGAGGAGGTATCCCAAACATCACGCATTGGCTGGTCTATGCCATCTGTCCTACTGGAGTAATCATGTTTGGTACAAGTAAATAAATATCAACCAGGTCAGAGACATAAACAAAAGCATCCCCCACACAAGCCCTACCTACTCAGCTACTGATTATTCCTATATGTTCCATCTTCAATAAGCTGGGGCAGAACCTGGCTCCTAGTCTGTTCTCACATGCATACAAGTGTGATTCCCCAGAAAATGGATATGTACAGGGTCACCAGATTCACTATATGCACTGGTCACAAGCACTCAATATCTGGGTTCAGTGATGAATCAGTTCTCCCAGCCCATCTGAGAAAACCATGCACACACTCAAAATCTAATTAAAGAGTTGATAATTCTTAAAAATAATTTTCACCTGGTAAAGCTTTCCAGACACTACAGAAATGAAATATGCATTCCAAGGTGACATGAAACCATAAAAGTAGTATTGTTATCTTACATATGTGAGGGATCTTATGAGCAACCTGAGACTGTTTCTGTAATAAACACTGGAACAAACCCCAATGTTTTGGCTTGCTTTGTACACACAGAGGCCGCAAGCATCTAAAGATAGAAAGGAAAGCACTCCATAGGCAGAGTACACAGTTACAGAATGCAGCAGCTGTCATCATCATGAGTTAAATATAGGCTAAATTCAGATCATCTTTATTCAAACCTTGTAATGAGTGTTTAGATTCTCACTGGAACTAGATGGGATGAGCGTAACCTGACAGATCTTCCCTCATCTTGCAGTTCAGTACAGATGCAGGCATTCAGCCTGGGCACAACATGCTTCTGAGAGCACTCCAGGATTTTCTGGCTTCTAAGGTGAAGCCAGCAAGCAGTTCCTGGACTTCGTTACTGCTTTCACTCCTCTGGCTTACAGCATGATGCTGAGGACAGGTCTGGCAACACAGCTGATAGGGTGTGAATCGCAATACAGGGATGTGAGTGAGCAGCCAGAGACATGGATGGGGGCAAGAAGCTCATGTCTCAAGAAAATACACTACTT